TAGAAGCCAACTCCAAGGAAACTTGACATCAGATCTGATAAAACTCTTCAGCAGTATGTGAGACTCATGCTTTAGGTATGCTTAGAAAAGATTGAAGTGATGTCTGGCAGCCAGCATGGATACTGCTGCCATAAATGGACCTATTATGGATCAACCACATTGGCAAATCTGGGAAGGTCCACGAACCTAGCATGTCTTGATTTCTGCAACATGTTCGACAAAGTCTTTTGTGATATCTTAGTGGATAAAACTCCAATAGGTGTATTAAGCGATGTTGTAGTTCAGTGGGCTTCCTGTTGTTGAATTAATGCAGTTAAAGAATGTTAATAAATGATAATCTGGAAGGAGAGGTCAGTGAAATTTACCTTCACCTTAACCATGTTGTGTTCCATCACTACTGCATCAATACTCCGAAGGGACACAGTAACAAACAGGATTTTCAATTTCTTTGTATGACAAAGAGTCATATGGAATAACGTTAAAAGTGATCTCAGTAGACTGGAAGTCTGGACCAAATTCAAGAAGATGAGATTTAACACATCTAAAATGTTAGTCTGTTGCATTGAAACTCAAAAAATCAATCACACAGGCATTGAAATCAGGAGACCTGGTTTTGCAGATGTTAATACTGAAAGAAAGAGGGCTTTCCAGGGGAAGAACTTTCTATTGGACGATAAGCAGAAGATGAAAATGTAGCAGGATGTGGTTTTCATAAAAGTTAATGAAATCTGAATTGTATCTAGAGAAGCCTGTTGGGTTGATGAAAGACTGGAGAATACATCATATGAGGAATGACTGAAATAACAAAAGGCCTTGTAATATCTGGACTAAAGTAGAGGTAACTAAAATGTCAAGGTCGTCTTCTAGTACTTGAGGTGTCCTTGTGAGGAAAAGGGGGAGGATTTGCCTTGCGAGAATTTAAGGCAATACAGTGAAGACAACAGGCAGAAGTTATAAGGAGATAGGTTTTAGCTGAGTATAAGGAAAAACTCAGTAGTAGTCAAGAAGAAATGGGCTTACACTCGTGACATAGTCACATGGCTAGTAGGTAGAGGTGACTCAAGTGTCCGTCTATAGATGGATTGACAAATTGACAAACAAAATGGGATATGTACATACACTGGAAAATTAGCCTTAAAAAGGAAAGAGATTCTGACACATGCTATAACATGGATGAACCTTGAGGACATCAGGCTTAGGGAAATAAGCTGGTCATGTACGGATCAGTACCGTAGGATTCCACCTATGTGAGGTTCCTAGAGCTGTCAAATTTCATAGAGACGGACAGTACAATGGTGGTTGCCAAGAAATAAGGAGTTGTCGTTTAGGGGGGACAGAATTTCAATTTGGAAAGATGAAAAAGTTCTGGAGATGGGTGGTGGTGATGGTTGCAGAACACTGTAATGTACTTAGTTGCCACAGGACTGTCCACTTAAAAACCGTGAAGAGGGTGATATTTTATACCTTTGACGTCTTAATACAGCTAAAAAAGATTAATAAATCAGGGACTCCATTGCCTCCAGAATCAAACTTAAAAAAATAAAAAAACAAAACCCACAGAAGAAATGAGCTGCTATGAGAGGTCCTGAGTTTCCCATAGCTGTAGGTATCCAAGCAGGAGCTGGACAGCCTTATGGTGGCACGTCCTGGAGGGAATTTCAGGGTTAGAGGAGACAGTGCCAGTGACTTCAGAACTTCTATAACTGCATGAAAACGGAGGCTTCCTCCATGCTACGGACTGAGCCAGGCAGCATCCTTTCTTGATAGCGTATCATCTACGCAAGAGTGTATTCATATACCGCACATCATACAACCATAAGACCATGTTTCATGACAAATACGCGTTGCGATATATATGGTCTAATGAATCTTAAAAAAAATACATACCCATTTAGCCCCCATCTGGGTCTAATATTGAAACATGGCCATTACGTTAGAAGCTCCTCACTCCTGCCTTGCACCTTTTCCCATCAAGATCCCTTCCTTCCTCCCCGAAATGACCCGTCTCCGGATTTTCGTGATGACCGCTTCCTTGCCTTTTCAGAAATAGCCTTATGATCTATCATGCATCCCTAAACAACATAGTTTGGTTTTGCCTGTTTTGAAAGGCCTGTATATCATATAATATGTTTTCATTTGTTACTTCTCTCTTTAGCTCATTAGGCTTACAAGATTCATTGGCATTGATACATGCATTGAAACTGTAATTAATTCATTTTCAATAGATCAGAGTGTTCCCTCGTGTATATGTGCCACAATTTATTTATTGTTCCTACTGTTGGACGTTTGGATGGTTTCCAGCTTTTGGTTTTTACAGACGCTGCAGCTAGGAACATTCATGGGCATGACCTCTGGTCCTCAGGTACAAGAATTTCTCTAGCGAATGTACCCGGGGGTAGAAATTTGGTGTTGTAGGATACACATTGCTAAATGTTCAAGATAATGCCAAACTGCTTTCCTAATGATAGTCTTAATTTACACCATCGCTAGTATTTTTTTCCCCAGTAATATATTTTTTTATAGTAAAGTACTCTAAATGTCTTTTCTTTTCCTTTGATTTTCTTAATAACATTATCTTTTCTCTAGCCTACTTTATTATGATACCATGACAGCATATAATACGGTAACGTGCAAAATCTGTGTTAACCAATTATTTTTTGTTATTGGTAAGGTATCTGGTCAACAGTAGGCTGTTATCAAAGCTTTTGAGGGATCAGAAGTTCTATGCAAATTTTCGATTGTGTTGAGGGGTGGGGGGGTGAGCGCCCCTAGCCCCCATGTTGTTCAAGGGTCAGCAGTACTTGTCAGATTCAGATTGCACTTTTTACCTGAGAACTAGAGAAGGTGGTGATGTTGGCAGCCTGGCTCTAAGATCTTGCCATAAAGTGGGAAAATGTAGTCGAGTTGCCTTAAGATGAATGTTGGCTCCAAATCAATGTTAGGTTTTTCTTTTGAATAAAATGGCTTTAATAGAGATGATCCTAAGCACGCGAAGGGCAGGAAGTGCCACGTATCCTTTGGTTGGCTGGCCCATTCCCACCTGGTCCCTCAGATCTAGGTTGATGGCCCCTGCTCATCAAATCCTGACGACCTTGTGTTCAAAGTGCAGTCTTCAAAGAAAGGCATTTCAGAGCGAGATATAATTTACTGAATGGTGTCAATGTTACGGTGTGGTGAGGCTTCCCGAATAGAATTGAAATGAAATGAAGTGGCTTTGAGAGGATGTTGGCCACACAGCATTGTAGCTTTTGGCTCCGGCGCTGACAGCCTGAACTTAAAACTCCGTCTAGCTCAGAGCTCAGCCACTTTCCAGCCACTTTCCAGCAGGTTAGTTGATCTTTTTTTTTTTTTTTTTTTTTAGTTGATCTCCTTAAATTTGGTTACCTCACCTGTGAAATGGGTAGAGTGGTACTGCCTGTGCCAGCATGGGGAGAGGCCAGAAGTCATGGGAAGTGCTAAGCTCTGTCCCTGACATGTAGTGTCCCATAAATGTGGCACAAATTATCAGTTTCCCTCAAGAACTACGTTGATGATGGCTTCCTGGATAATATAAAGTGTGATTTTGCCCCGGGGAGATGGAGCAGGACTTGACCTCTTCAGGGTTGGGATTTTCTCCCCCCAGCCTCATACCCTTGGTGATGTTCGGCAGCAAACATTTAGAATAAGCTCTGGTTTTTACTTTTCACCAGACCAGAAGTGACAGCAAAAACAGACATTTTTTTTTCCCCAGAAAAGAAATTAATCTCCTAAACAGGGTGATTTTACCCTTTTCTTTAAATACTTCTAAACTCATGAGAGGGAAGCACAGCACACATTATCCATCAGAATGAAGCATCATCCAGCGCTGCCGAGTTTCATTGACTTTAAGATTGCCCTCTGAGCTATAGGCTTTTTTTTTTTTTCCCAGAGCACAGTTAGCAGGGATATTTTTCTTTAAATGGCCCCATTTCATTTGCATTTTTAAGCTTTCACTGCAGAGAGTAGAAGCAGTGGTAAATGGTTCCAAGGAGGTGGCTGTGATTTCTCCAAACTCAGAGCCGCCTGCCAGAAGCTTCTGAAATTGAGTGTCAGTTTCCCTCCGAGTAGAAAGATATTACTTCATATTTGTGCACGCGGTTCGCTGCTCTGCTCTCGCCTTGATGGTCTCATTTAGCCACAGGCATTCTCCAGCAATGATTCGTTCTCCCCAATAAAATTAAATATCACCTTTCTCCCGCCCAGCCCACCCCCACTTTTTTTTTTTAATAAGACATTTTCTTGTTTAGACTGAAGCGAGACAAGGTGAGAAGCTGTGAGTCCTTCTCTGATTCCTTTTTGCTTTCTTTCTTTCTTTCTTTCTTTCTTTCTTTCTTTCTTTCTTTCTTTCTTTCTCTTTTTTTTTCTTGATGAGGAGAAAACAGCAGGAAGGCAAAAGGAGGAGGATATCTACCACCAGAAATCCAAGTGGAAAGCTATTCCAAGATCAAAGATCAATCGGAGTTTGTTTAAGATTTAATAGCAAGGCCTTAGAGAGGGGCTGGGATGCTCTACGCTGTTGGAGAGCGAGGGACATAAAGGACCAGCCTTGTCTCCGCGTAGGTTCTTGAGTTCATGCCATGTCCCCCAATCCCCCCGCGGTGCCGCACCAGAGTTTGCAGGAAGCTCCCAGGGCCCCTGGGTCCATGGGGTCCTGACACCTGCCAGGCCCTGTCAGGAGGAGGCTGGACCCAGTCCAGGAAGGGATGGGTGAGCAGCTCTTTGTAAGATGAGCCAAGAGCAGGGGAAGAGGCTCTGCTGCTTGCAAAGAGAAGGGGGCTTTTGATGACTCCCTGCCTATTGTCAGAGGGGTAAGCCACCATGCTTTCTTCCATTGACAGGCTCCTTGAGCAAAGCAGGTTGCAACACGTATGCTGTCTCTAAACTGGCTTCATACGTAGGCCTTCTTCGCCGTGCTGATGAGCTGTGTGCCTGAGGTTTACGAGTTGGGTGTCTACACACTGCACTACGATTTCCCTGGACATGGTCCTCTAACAGGGTGGGCAGGTTTCTCGGCCTGCTCAGTGAAGTCCATTTAAGACATACGATTTTGGCTGAGATGTATTCCTGGGAGGTTTACTGGGATGGAGACGGGAGCTCATGTGGTGAGGGATGAGGAAAGAGAAGAGTTGCATGCCTTTTTCCGGGACCTTTAGCCAAGTTCTGGTGAAATCTTGAAGTAGACGCTGCACGTGTTTGGCTTGTGCTCTCACCGCTCCTTCGTGCCCTGGTTGTCGGGGCTCTGCGCCGCCCCCACGGTCACTAAGGGTGATGTTGTTGGGAAGGACGTCGAGAGGGTTCTTACCTTGGATAACGGGCAGGTCCCAGGCTGAGGCTCTTCCTACCGAGATCCTAGGATCAGTGGGCCCGAGTGGAGGACAAAGAAGGTGAGAAGTTCAATCTAATTTGCTTTCTGTGATTAAGGCTCAGAGTGGTTCTTAGGGGTTCCTGAGCTGTCCTGGCAGTCCCTCTGCCTCGGGTACCCAGGGTCCAGCTTTGTGACGCCACCCCCCGACTACCAAGTTGCTCCCAAGAAGAATTAATCAGAAAATTTTGAGGTTTAATATGAGATGCCTCACATCTCAAATATCCATTTGCCCAAGGGACTTCCAGGCACCTGCTTCCCCTTGTCCTTTACCATTGCCCTGTGCTTCTTCTCCCTGGCCCTGCTCCTACCACAAATTTACGTCTGTCCTCTGGAGTTTCCATGAGCAAGAGATTCAGTCATTATCTCTGACTTCTCACTGACCACTCCCTCCATCTTCTTGTTTGAACCCGCCTCTCCCTTCTCAAGGGGAGCTGTGCGCTCTCCCATTACTCAGGGTCAGCAGCTGGCATTGGCTCTGCTCCCTCCTCTGACTCCCCAGAATGACTCATGGAAAACCTTCTGCCCACTTAAGGCTCATGCTCAATGGCATTTCCTGCCCTCTCCTAGAGATCACTAATGAAATGCCTGCAAGGGCCTGCCAGTGCCCTGGGTGAGCACCGAAGGGGGTTCGGGTGAACCAGAGACAGCAAGGTCACAACTGGTCTCAAAGGTCTCAAAGGTCACGATTGCTCCTCTGCTCTGGAGATCACGGTGGAGGGAAATGAGCCCCACATTGCTAGATGTTGATAGTTCTTAGGAGCAGCCTTCCAAAGAATCCAGTGTGTGTGTGTGTGTGTGTGTGTGTGTGTGTGTGTTTAATTTATTTATTCATGAGGCACACACACACACAGAGAGGCAGAGGGAGAAGTGGACTCCATGCAGGGCTTGATCTTGGGACCTTGGGGTCATGCCCTAAGCCAAAGGCAGATGCTTAACCGCTGAGCCACCCAGGCGTCCAAAGAATACAGAGTTTTAGATGCACTCTCCTGATATTTAAATGGTGGGAAGTCATTTATCATAAAACAAATAGGCAAAAAACCCCCAACCAGCCAGAGAGAGCCTGGCTCTTGGTCTGATTTGGCCCTTACACCTCTCATTTGTGATGTCCCTGCTGTATTTCTTGGTCATCATGTAATAATCTCTTCATCCTCCTCTCTTTCACTAAATGTAGTGGCATGTGGCTCGCAGTCTTTTCCTGCATCTGAACCCCTTGCCTCATGTTGGATTAGCTCAGGGGTCATGAGGGTGCCCCAGCACTGCTCTGACTTCCTCATTCTGGGGGCTTCTCATGGACTGTGACCTTCACTTCTTCTCCAGTTGAGCCCCACACATGCATGGCTCCACCCTGGACCTGGCCATCTTCTAAGTCGTATCCTAATCTCTTTGATCTTTCTGCTTTCACTCCATAGTCTACACTATCTGTATCTTTCAAACTGGGGACTCTCAGGCCCTGGGTCTCTCTTTAGCTACCTCCTTCATAACTATAAGCCCTTTCCTCACCCCCTGTCCAGCTTCCTGTTATTTCAGGCTCTGTCCAGCCAATCTTGTTGTGCCATTGGCTTCTTTTCCTATACGGTTGGCGAAACCCTAACCCTGGCTCTGATGAACTATCAGCCTTTGTTACCAGTTTTGCTTCCTGTTGTAGAGAAACCCATATCTGTGGATGAATTTCACTGCAGCTTCGCAGGTCTGGGATGCTTCTGGATCAACACTGGAGCCCTGTGATGGTTGCATGGTACCTTAGCCCGTTCTCTGTCTAGTTCCCTCTGCTAGTTTTTTCTTGCCTCCTCCTCTCAGATGTTTGACTTTCATAAGTTAAACATATGGCATTGCTTCCTACTTCACAGAGAAAGTAGTAGAAGCCAATGATGGGAACCCTCCCTTTCTGCCACTTAACTGTCCCCAAACCTATAAATTAGTGTGACAGCTACCTCCGTGCCTCCCTCCTTGACTCTCACTGTCATGGAAGAGGAGCATCCCCATCTGGGCAGATCCCTCTACTTGTCCTCTGGAACTTTCTTCCCAGGTCTTGGTAGCCTGGCTTGATATATGCTCCCTCTCTCTTCCCTCTACAGTCCACCCCATCCATTCCCATTTTGGCCTCTCCCTATCGACAACTGAACACGTTTACATCTTCCATCCTGAAGATCCAGCTTCTGTCAGGCCCCATGGCACGTTGCAGGGACTGCTTTCTGTTTAAAGAGACATATATATCTGCTGCTCTACTTCTTTCCTCTCCCTTCTCTATTCTACCCACTGTAATCTGGCTTCTGCCCTTATTACTCTACTGAAATTGCTCTCAGCAAGGTCAGCGATGACTGTTTTACTGCTGAATCTATTGGAAACTTTTAGCCATTATTCTTCTGACCTCCCCATCGTAGCTGACACTACGTAGTTGGTCCTTCTCTGCGTGTTGAAGCTTGTTTCCTGGGTCTCTGGGACCACATGCAGCAGCTGAATTCCCCCCACTACCTCTTCAGGCTCCTCTAACGACTGCTCTTCCTCTGCTATTCTTAATTATCAGAGTGGGTTCTGTCTCAGGTCCTCTTCTGGTCTCATTCATCCATGCTGCTGAGGTTATCTCAACATTCCATGACTTCTCTGGGAGAAATTGAGGCACAGCAGGAGGGGTTGGGTGCAGACTCTGTGATGGGGAATATTGGAAATGAGGTTGGCCAGGCATGATGGTGCCAGAAGTTGAGATTGAAATGCCAGCAAGGAAGTTTTTACTTGTTGAACATGTCAACAGGTAAACAATCATTGGATCTAGAACATTAGTAGTGAGTTTTTTAGAAGTTTGAACCTTCCCTTGTGTTGTACAATAAAGTATTTTTCTTGTCTTTGTCCTGGGTTCGTGGGGTGGAGCTTCTAAACTGTTGGTATTTCCAAAAAGATGGGAATGTCTTTGTTATTCATGGTGGGCTTTTGGGACCTCATTTGAATTTATGATAATGAAATGACTCATAATGAGCCCCTAGATAGTTTCAGCGTGGGGGATGGCTATGCCGGAAAGATTCATTATATGATTAGAGTATTGGAGCTTTGAACTACGGGACTGTGGCCCAGTCTTCAGGAATAGAGGGAAAAGAATTTAACCACATAGCCAATGATTCAATTAATGATGCCTGAATAATGAAACCCCAATGAGAACTCTGACACTGAAGCTTGCTTGAGCTTCTGGGTTGGTGAATGCATCCATGTGCGGGGAGGGTGGTGCATCCTGATTCCACTGGGAGAGGACACAAAAGTGTCACATTCAGGACCCTCCCTGGTTTTGTCCCATGTATGTTCGTTTGGCCAGCCTGGGGATTTATATCCTTTATGACAAAACTCTCATGGAAGTACGGCACTTTCCTGAGTTCTGTGAGTCATTCTGAATTAGTGAGCCTGAGGGAGCTATGGGAACCCCTGCGTTTTGGCCAGCTGCTCACAAGTGCAGGTCCCCAAGGACCCCTGAACTTGTGGCCTTTGTCTGGCGACTGTGCCCTTAACTCATGAAGCCTGAGGTAGCTCTGGGTAGTTAGTGTCTGAATCACACCGCAGGATAAGCTCCCCAAGAGAAAGCATGCGGACCCAGTGAAGGAGTGAGTGCCTGCTACTAGAAGAGATCTGGTTATCTGGTTCCTCTGTCACAGAGGAACAGAGAGGACCATGCAGTCATAGGACATTATTTAGACTTTATTTAAAAACAGTATCTCTAGGTTTTTTGGGTAGAACAACAATAAGGAGTCTTTAAAAAAGCAGAAAGATTGTTCCCTTTAAGTCTGGTCATATTTTCCTTTGAGCTTCTGAGTTCTTGAATCTGTCCCTCAAAAATTCTGAAATACTGTATATTTCCCTGTTAAAAAATATGACTTTTTCTTTTGTCCCCTCGAAAAGGCAGAGAGCAGCCCTTGGGGATAATAATGATGCCATTTATGCTGTGCTCTCTTGTAGTTAAAATTGTGTCAGCCATTTTGACCCCTGCTGGGATTTATGGTAGCTTAGATCTCTGTTGGAGAAATGAGTTTTGGGCAGTAGACAGGAGGAAAAAGGTTTCAGGCTTGGAGCATATTATTTTAGTGAAATGGAGAAAAAATTCACTTGAACTTTCTTTTCTCTCTTTTTTTTAGCTGTAAGATCTGACTGCTCATTTTCTACTTCCCCTGTCCGCACCCTGATTTCGCTGGGCTCCCTTGTATGGGACGCTGGGTGGTTCTAGCCTTATCAACAAGCAGAGCTCCCATGATGTGCTGATGGTCACCAGCCCAGCTCCTTACAGACCCTCCCTCTGTTCCTTCCTCCAACCTTTGCAAATCAGAAGCGTCCCCATTTTACAGATGAGGACACTTGTTGCTTAAGCAGGGTGAATCGCTTTGTCCACGGCACCTTCGTAGAATGCTACAGTGATTGGAGCCCTGGTCTCCCCAGCTCCACTGTAGAGTGCCTCCTAAGGATTCAGCGGGCACTGAACCTAGAGCTGGAGGGAAATTGTAAGTAAGGCCTGTTTTTGTCCCCTCAAGAAGCTTAGAATCGAGTCCGAGGGCCTGAACTTTTTTGGTTTTTATTTTTTAAAATTTTTTATTTATTTATTTTTTAAAGGTTTTATTTATTTATTTGAGAGAGGAAGAGAATGAGCAGGGGGAAGGGAAGGGATAAGAGGAGAGGGGGAAGTTGAGGCCCCGCTGAGCAGGGAGTACAGTGCAACACTGAGGGCTCCATCCCAGGACCCTGGGGATCATGACCTGAGCTAAAGGCAGATGCTTAAGGAAATGAGACACTCAGGTGCCCCAAGAGAGACCGATCTTTATTTTCTGATCAAGGTGCTAGTTTGGCACAAGAGTTGATTGAATCAAGACTTCTGTTAAATATTTGGCCTGTTATTAAAGTTAAAAAATTGTCACGAAGGGTCCCCAGACTAGCCTGGTTTAAAAATAGCCTGCTTTTACTTCCTTAGCTTTCTAATGATCATTGCATATACTTAAATCTGCACCTTATCTTTCCTTTGTAACCAAGCCAAATCCCATTCTTATTACTCTA